TACATTTCCCAATGGTCTCTTCTTCCAAAAGAAGGCATGAAGTAGGTCACTGAGAAAGAAGAAACTTTCTTGGCTTCAACACTTCAAGCAATTCAGTGACCCTGTATTTTTTTTTTTTGTGTGTGTGGAGTATTTCTAACCCCTTCTCAACTCCACTTTCTGGGAATTCCAGTACCTTAAAAGCCAGCTCTGTTCTTGTGTTTACTTGGATATTTGCCAAGTTGAGTATTGAAAAGTGTTGTGAAAGTTAAGCTGCATGAAAAGAGATGATAATTCTGTACTGCCTATGAGGCTTCGGGTCAGAACCACCTTTATACATACGTGTGTGTGTTTTGGCAGCTGCCTAATAGCTTTTCTCTCCACCATGCCTCTACCCCACATTACCACACCATTGAGCTATTTATTCAGATTAGCTAAGTTGCCTGAGGAATGGTGCCAGAAACTGTTATTAGGAAGCTAATCTTCCCAAAGGAGCTAGAGGATTCTCTAAGGGGGTTGTCTCTGAATTTTTTTATTCTCAAAAAGTAAGTCTCACTTTTGCTTTTCTTGTTGAAATGAAAGAAGGATACAAAATTCCAAAAAGATTGTGTCATTTAGAGTGAATGATGGGAGTAGAATCAGAATCCACTAAAGGTCTTTCCATCCGTCAAAGAGTTGGATTTGAGTTCAGAAGAGAAGGGGGTAAGTAAGTTGAGAGTTGAGGGTCTTTCAGTCACATCACACACAGGAGTAACTGTTATTTTATGAATGTGAAATCTGTTACATCCTGGCCAGTGGACACGGGCACCTTGTGAAATGGCATGGGTGAGTCTGAGGACTACCACTGCCTTAGGAGCTTTCACCACCAACGCCTAGACTTTTAATTTTATCCATCTTCAAAAGCAAAAGCAAGTTAATAAGGATTAAACTTTGAGGGTCAGATGAAGGTTGAGATCTCTTGCTTGCCAACAAGGATTGTTCTTAATTTCAATAATTTGATGAACATGCCCAAGAGAGTTTGGGATGCCAGAGACAATAAATAGCCATGGGGGAGGAGAGGGCGCTTTCCCACCTGCATGGGCCATTGATGCTATGCAATTATAGTGACTCAGTTTACGTCTATGCAAGCATCTTCTTTTCTCCTTTCCTGGGAAAAGAGTCCCATTACCACAATCTTACTGGACTTCAATTATTTATTTAAAATTTTTCAAAAGTTCTCTTGATATAATTTTGCTCCAGTCAACATATTTCCTTTGAAGTAGATTTTCCCAGGGTTAACTGAAAAAGGAAGCTGATCTTTGATAGCTTTAAGAACCACCACTACTCCTTGTTCATACATGGGTCAGAGTAAAGATATTGACCTTCCCGCTCTCTACAAGGCATTGTTGTGTCTGATAGGGGAGAATGGATGGAGAAACTGAAATGTATAGTAAGGCATGACCTTTAAGGCAGAGAGACCTGCATTTATTCTAAATCATGAAACTCTCAGAAAGCAACTGAATACATTTTGGCCTTGGCTGCCTCACCTAAAAAATGAATGGAATAATAGTCATAATAATGAAGAAGATGTCACTTCATATGGTTCCGTAAGGAATGGATGAGATCATAGATACAAGGCACTGGGGAGTGCTGTCCCTGTATAGCCATCAGCTTAGTATAGCTGTTCCTGCATAATTGCTAATTCCGTGCAAGGCTGGATTCCCGAGGGAGGGGCACATTTCCATTTCCCAAGTGTAGAGTGAGAGCAAGGAGCCAATTTAGTTCCAGGTTGGGAGAGAGCTCACATCTTCTGATTCTTCATCCCTTTCTTTGACATGAAGCCAAAACCTAACTGGAGCTTATCCTTCTGCTAATGACAGCTCCAGCCTAAGTCCCCCGAGGGGCCGACTCAACTGCTTCAACTCTGAAACCAGATCACATTCCTCATTCATGTTTTTTTCAATTCCCTTTGAGCCAGTTTTTGCTGTTATTTTCCCTTTGGAGTTTGGAAGATACAGCCTCCTTGGGATGGAAAGGACATTGGCCTGTGCAATCAGAGGCCCAAATGCTAGGATCTTGCTCTGAGAGGCAGCACTGCAGAGCAACTAGGAGACTGGACTCTAGAGAGTGCCACATGACCCACACTGACTAGATCATCTTCTGCATAGATGCAACTTCAAACTGATTATCATTAATGTAAAGTTTCACTCTCAAAGGAACTCTGGCTTGGGCTTTAACCTACATATTTCCCCTAATTCAGAATGACTCCATTTGGATCCCAGTCTATTCATTCATGCTATTCATGTGGCTAGCCACTCCAGCTCTCTGTAAGTGGAAGTGGTAATAATAATAATAATAATAATAATAATAATAATAATAGGAATTCCTTTGGAGTTGTCTACAGATTATGTTTCTTGGGATTGTTTTTAGAATTTATGTGCCACTACAAAGTGCCCAGAATAGTGCATGCTTGCCACCCAGCAATGCTGTGGGATTCTGGCCTTGCTGCATGCTGACCACTTTTAATTTATAGATACACTTGGGAATAATCACTACTATTGTAATACGAAGTTGTCAACTCAAAAACATGGGCTGTTTTTACTTAGATCATTTTCAGACCTTTTAGTTAGATTAGTCAGAATAGACCACTACTAATAGTGAAAACTCGGTGGACTTTAAGCCTTATTTATGTATTTATTAGCAGAAAACCACCACATCTTCCCTCCTTATCTTAGTGGACAGGGAGCTATCAGAGGGAATAAGTTATGATTTGTGTTGTCCTGATGACAGCGCTGTGGGGGAAAAATTGGCTCTCAAGTCCCTGCATTTGTCAATTTTGGCCACTGTAGTAAAATAATGGAATCATGACAGTTTAATCAATATGATGGATATTTGATTTTATTGCTTTAATTTTTGTTGCTTGCAATGAATGACTCAGGACACTTCACTACTCTGTTAACTTTTAAGGTTTTGGGGTTTTTCCCATTGATAATCTATGTCTTTTTCTCCCAGGAACTTCTTTTCTTTGACATGAAGTTGAGTAGCAAGACAATGGGGTTTATTCTACAAACACACATTTTTATCTCTTCCTGTTCCTGTCTGGCCAAAAACTTTTATTAATAATGCCACTGGTTGGAAAGAAGTCCACAATTCCTTTTGTTGTTTTACCTTTCATATTTAAATCTTTAACCACTCGCAATTCCATTGTTATAGGTTCTGTTTGTTTACTGTCTCCAAAGAGTGAAGTGGTCTCCCCTACTCAGTCTACAAAACAGCTGGGCTTTTCACCACAAAATTGTGATGCTTTCTTCTGCCATGGATTAGACTCCATAAAGTCCCTCCTTAGATCAGTTTAGAAGCCTGACTCATCTCTATAGTTATTTTGAGATCCAATTGCCCACGGTGATATTGATGTTAACAATACCAAGACGCCTTTTATTACCATCACCTTGTAATAATTCTCCCCAAATGAGAATTCTTTCCTCTCACCTTCTGCGGCTTACTTAGCTACTACCCATAGCTCTTTCTCCCCCACAGATGTCTTAGAATACACTTCTCACATCTTTCAAAGAGCCTTGCTGGAGTCAGCCCTGGCCTCTTGTAACTTATGTATAGACATGGAAATAACAGTGGCCATTCATGATATGATGTCACTCACTCTAATGCATAGAGTTTCTCCTCTTAGGTTATACTCTTGCTTCTTTAAATGAGAATTTTAGTTTCCTTGGTCAAATTCTTTCTAGGTACTCTATGATCACTGTTGCTCCTATGCAGGTACCTAGATTAGAGGAAGGTCTGGCTTCTAGCTTTTTGCTGGCCAAGGATTGACCTAGGTAGCTTTAACTACGTCTTTCACTGCTTCTGAGCATAAGTTTCCTCATTCATTGAAAGACTGAAATGAAGCTGGTGGCATCCATAGCAACACAGGTAACAATGACAATGAATAACTCAGACTGAAATGTCACAGTGTGTCAACCCTGTGCGGAACATGCTCATAGCAGTTACCTCCCCTGAGATGGAGGCAACCCCAACACAGCAAGCCAACAATATTTGATTGTAATTGGCCTGTCTTATCAGTGAAGAAATAGAAGCTTGGAGGTGAGATCATTCACCCAGGCTCACACAGCTAGCATGCAGCTTGGTTGGAGGCATAGGAAGCACTTAAAAGGAAAGCTGTCTGAAGCAGCAGGTCATCCCTGGAGCCTCAGAGGATTTGTTAGAAGCGTGAGTTGTCTTGTTTGTGGCCGCTCATGGCTGACTCCTGAACACCAGAAGCCATGAACGAGGTCCAGAGCTCCATTATGCTTACAGTAACTCCAGCGAGTTACCCTTAGCTCTGACCACATGCATTCTCTCTTGTAGAACACTGGTTTCCTAGAAGCCTGCTGGCTGATGGTGGAGTCAGATAACAGCCTGGGAAAACAGCCCGCATTCACAGGACAGGAAGTGGGTGCCCATGTAGCCAGCTGGGTGAGAAACAGAGGCTCTCTCAGACAGCACATGGATGAGGGGACAGTGGAAAACACGACTCTTCTCCTCTGGCAGCTAAAGGAAGCACAATTGAGAAGGTTCAAACCAGAACACTCTAAGAGTGTCAGTTGGGTTTCCCTGCTTTCAAGGACCCTGCAAGTGACAGTCACCTAATTCAAACCGGCTGCCCTAAAGACAGAAATGTAGCTAGCTTAAGCAACTCATGGACTAGAGATGGTTTGAGATAAACTGAATTAAGGTTTAGAGTTATTTCACCAGTCCCTCTTCCCTTTCCTCCTCTTGCCCTCTTTTAATTATTGTGTGACAATGTTCACTTAGCTCAGGCTGCCTTTACACTTACTGTATAGCCAAGATAGCCATGCGCTTTGGTCTTTCTGATCCACCTTCTGAGTGCTAGGTTTCCATGTGTACACCATTACAGAGCAGTACTGGAGCCTGAATCTAGGACTCCCTACACAGGAGGCAGATGCTCAATCAAGTGTACCATGCCCCAAATGCTTCCTCTTTCCATTTTTCAAGCTCTTTTTCTCTAAAGAAGGAAAACATAACTCTTGGGAGCTCCATTTATTTATTGGAACAGAACCTCATTTTCAGCATCCATATCAGTTCCATAAAGGATTTGGATTGGTGTTCTTCTTGGGTCAGGGCTCAACTCTCAGGCAACAGAGAGCTGGGCCATGTGACGGCAGTCTTGTAGAATATGGAAAAGTGGTTCCCAAAGGAAATGATGCAAAACCTCAAGGTGAACAAGGGCAAATTGTATCTACCCATCATCTTCTCAATGCTATTGCTCACAGAGCCAGTAGGGCAGGGACATCGTCCCTTTAACTCTTGTATCATTTTCTTGTCAGCCCCTACCTTCCCACCTACCCTGCATGACACACCAGACATCCTATTGGAGCAATGTGACACACTTTTTTCTTCACATCTCTGGAGCTCCTTTCCTTTTAGAGTGAGGTCAGTCTGTTCCTAGGACTCTTTATGGTCATCCCAGGAAAATGAAGCGCCTTTCCCCTGCTTACTGCACAGTGATTATTTTTCGAAGTAGGTCATGTTGGTCTCCAAGCTGGAGTTGAGGCTATTGAGAGAAGGAACTAATTCTTGCTGTATTGGTCTTTGTGTGAGGAAATGTGACTCTACAGTAGACCCTGTTTGCCCAGTATCTAACTCCTGCCTTCCATCCTCTAAACCATGACTTGGAGTTCTGTGCACACAGCTAAATGTTGACTTTGTCCGTGCAGCCAGTGGTGGGTAAATGGTGTGTTTCTGGCTTCTGAGAGATTATTGGGCTTGTGCAGGGGTGAGGCACAGCATGTGAAACAGCTTTGCTTTTTTGTTAAAAGAGTCACACGACTGCTTCTCCTCCTCCCTTCCTATTTTGTGTGTGCTCTTAATATTTGACGGTAAAGCAATCAACCATCTGCCAACAAGAGGAAAAGGTCAACAGTCACCTTGTCTGTCTTCAATGCAGGCACTGAAACCCAGACCTACAGCCACCTGTCTGCAGAGGATTAGTCCTGGCCATGTTTCCTCTCTCCTATGTCTCTTCCACAGGAGGAGCTCAGGTCATATAATACTCCCAGAGTTGCAAAAGACATCATGGAATGAAGAAGCCAGTCTGATTCCAGGGGTAGAGAAGTGTGCATGCCTAGAAGACGTATATCCAATGAGGAGTCTTGGCCACTAAAGAACTAGTGTGTGAATTGTTTTACTTCAGTGGCAGCCCCTCAGTTGTTCACACATAAATGTTTATTGACTTGGATGTCTCTAATAACATAACTCTGAGATGCTCCTTTTTGGCTCAGGTCACTGGGAAAAGTTCATTGTGGCACAAAGGATGCTTGAGGGTGCCAGATAATTCTTGTCCTTCTTTTAAAAAGGAGAACTTTCATCCTCACTGATTCTCTTCTTAACACACTCCAAGTCAGAGTTTCCACGATCCATCATAGAAGTGGGAGTTTCTACTGTGCTTTCTTCACTTAAGGCTTACTGGCTCCCTCATACCTTTCCCAGTTCACGTCTCTTAGAATAGCTCTTGTTTCATCTCCCTCAGGTCCCACCAGATCCAAATATTTCCTGAAAAAAAGTATTTCAATTTAAAAAATGCAATGGAGCCAGGCATGGTGGCACACACCTTTAATCCCAGCAATCAGGCGTCTGAGGCAGACAGATCTCTGAGTTGGAGGCCGGCCTGGGGTACACAGTGAGACCCTGTCTCAAAAGAAATAACTAATGTTGATTTAGGCTGAAAACTTTTCTGCATGTGAATCCAAATTGCAGCATGGCTATTGACCTGCAAGGTCACTCAATATTCTGACCTTCACTTCCCTCACCTGGAAAAGGGTTTCTGGATCCTCTGGGGCTAGTTGTGAAGAGTAAACAATGCAATAGGAGCGTAGTGAGATCTTAACTCAGTATTAACTGGCCATTGCTGTCCTCATGGTTGGTAGGTACCTAGGAAAGTATACTCCAGGCCTGTTGTGAGTAGGAGTCATTAAAGGTGGCCCACTTCCTTGCTACAATGTATCCGTCACGTGATAAGGGTCAGCCTCATTCAGGGGGCGGCATCTAAGTCCGTGGCCAATAAATGTTTGCTGAATTCATCTTTAAACCCTGGTTTCTCCCAGTTCTTCCACATTACATTCCAGAACATTATCACATCTGAATCACAACTGGAATTCAGTTCTGGAGATAGCAGTGATAGAAAGAAACAAGAAAGCCTGCCACCTTGGAGTTAGCACCGGGTGCTAACTGTGCTGCTTCCTGGACACTTGCCTGTGCAGACAAGGAGACAAATCCTCAGGGGATGAGATCCTTGCTCAAGGCAACCTGGGCATCAAGTGACTGCATAAGAAGTCTCCATTTAGTCAGTACTCAGTCCCTACTGTGCGACAGCCACCGCTGAGGATGCAGAAATTTGGGAGTCTGCGGTCGGCGCAGACTCCTGGTTAACAATCAGAAAAATGTTTATCTCGTCCAGATTTTTTTTCTCCTGGAGTGTTGTGCTGAAATCTTTTCTGGGTCAAATCTTAACGATGAAGGAGGGGAAGGGATGAGGAGGAGGAGCAGAAAGGAGGACAAGGAGGGAACACTGTTCGTACTTCTGTATATAACATCTTAGGGTTCCTCAATATGAAACTTGCATTATGACTGAGGGGTGGTGGACCACTCACTGTGTGGGCTCATGGATTAGTTAAACCCAAGTCAGGAGCCCTGATGACCAGTGCAGAAGTGGGAGGAGTTGAAATGGTACGTGGGCACTAGGATCAGCCTGGCCAGGATGGAGTTCTGATTCTGTTACTTACAAGCTGGATCAAGTCATTTATACATGACAGATTTTAGTTCCACCATCTGTCATGTGTGGTAGTGAAAGTAAGTTTCTCACAACAACAATGACTCTAAAAGGCATTGTGCTGAGTTAAAGAAGCCAGGGTAACAGTACACACTGGTCAGGTGATGCCTCTCAGTTGGTGGAGTGCTCACCGAGCCCTGCGTAAAGCTGAGTGTAGTGGTACACACCTGTAATCCTAGCACCTGGGAGGAAAGCATAAGGAGGACCAGAAGTCAATGTCCTCCTCAGCTTCCATGTACAGTTCAAGGCAAGTTTGGGCTGCAAGAGACCCTGTCTCAACAACAAGGACATGAAAACTGGTTTAGCCTGAGGGTTGAGGGGCAGGACCACTATAAACAGGTATAGGAACTTTTTGTGGGGGATTATTCCTTATTTTGGTTGTGATATGGTTAAATGTTTGCAAATATTTATTCTAACTTAAATTATATTTCAATATAGGTGAATTTAAAATAAGCAACTCACAGGCTGTTATGACCATTTAACTAAATAATGTCAGTGCTAGGAACACAGTTGGAAGGGAGTAAGCCCTCCCTGCACATCCCCCTAGCTACCGTCAGCTCACTTAATTACCCACGTCTGGGAGCCCACAAAATTCTTCAAAACGCTCAGTGAGACCCCTGAAAATCCCTTATGAATCTCTCAGCAACAGGACTTCACTGAGCTCTCAGTGAAAGATGACATCTTCAGTTTGTTAGACCAAAAATAATCGCTTTCTAGTTGTCATAAAGCAGAGTTAAGATGAAAACTGGTCTGTAGTATTGTACTGCTATGAGAACATAAGCATTTATTTAAAAATTCAAAATCACATTGGTTAATCTTCTATCCCCATTCTCTGCATCGATCCAAAGCTGTATGACTTCGGGGATTTGAAGAATTTCTGAAGTTGTTTCTGTCTCCAAACTTAAGCCATGTTAGCCACTCAAGCTTGGAACTCTAAACTCTGGCCATGTTAGCCACTTGAAGCTTGGAAACCTTACTAGAAAGAGAAGAACCGTAAGTTTACATCTTGCTCTCTGCCTTTGGGGCATGCTAGCTGGCCCATGAACTTCGGGGATTCTCCTGTCTCTGCTTCCCAGATCATCATAGATGTCCTGGAATTACAGACTGATGCTGTAGCATCTGACTTTAAAAAGGTGCTGAGATTCAAGCCCAGGTTCTCACAGTTGCTCATCAGGGGCTTAATTCACTGAGCCTTCTCCTCAGCCCTAGAACTTTTCAGGAGCCATTTTCTAGCATTCTACAACCCATAGAATAAAGGAGAAGATGTGCTCTGGGTTAGCTGTCATGTCTACCATCTGAAATGGGAATTTCCCCAGCTGTACAATGGGACAATAGTGTGCACTAGCACAGGCTGTTTGTGAAGAACACACGAAATATCCTAAAGAACTTAGTATCACTTCTGGTCCAGTAAGTGTTCTTTCCTCTCCCCTTTCTCCTTTGTGTGTAACTAATTATAATATAACTTTAATAGTTCATGGTTTCTGTTCCCTTCGTTCAGAAAGCACATCTGGTCTTGAATCTCCGGTGTGAGCCAAGGGCTCCTGTCTCATGAAGTGCTAGTTATTCATTAGAGTACAGTTTAAATAGTTTTGCCATGGGGGCAAAGCCAGAGGAGCCCAGCATGCTAAAACTAACCTCTTGATACTTAAAATCTAAGTTCTTCTGAAAATTTACTCATTCCTGTCATTCATCACAGTCATTTATTTACTTGCAATTTCTGAGTCCTTCTGTGTGCTAAGCCCAGTACTAGGCAGGGAAGATATCGACAGAAGCCAGATACTGTCCTTAAGCTCAAAAGGCTTCTGGGTAAATGGGGGAAGACAGAGAGGACAGGTCAGGAGCTTGTACAGGCCACACTGAAGGACAAAGAAGGATGCATTGGGTTCTTGCAGGGCAGAGACAGGAAAGGCTGCTCTGAAAAGAGGAGGTTTGGAGGTCAGACAAGTCATGGAAGATGAGCAGGTGCCTATCTGAGAGGTGGGAGAAAGGCAGTTGGAATGAGGCAGCTGACAGAAGGAGGAGCTGCTGGAGTTAAATGGCACAATAGGCCACTATGATTGACAGCAGCTGTATGATTCAAAATAGTCATTAGAGAGGAGTTAGAGTGTTCCTAGCAAAGATATGATGAGTGTCTGAGGTGATAGATCTGCCTTGTTCTGATCATCATACATTGCATGTGTGTATTGAAATGTCACACTGTGCCTATAAGTATGTACAGTTGTTACTTGTCAGAAATTTAAAATCTATCTAAAAGGGGAAAAAAAGAAGAGAGGGTGTGCAGAAGAAACAACATGCCAAGACCTGCACTGTGTGATGGTCCTGTATAACCTAGAAAGTATATCCAAGTTGCTGGGGTCAGAGTGGATGGCCTGGATGAGAAGTCTCTAAGCAAATGCTAACCTGCTTGAGAAAGGAGGACATCAGTGCTGAACAACTGTTGGTGACAACAGAACAGAAGTCAACCAAGTCCCAACTCTACTGCCAGTCATTCATGCTTGCAGGTCATAGCTCTTTGTCCTTGATGGGTTGGTCATGGTTCTTCAGAGGGTTCCAGGGACTCAACCATGATTCTATCAGTTTGTTTCCATATCCGGCACTAGTCCTAAGCACATGGTGGAAGGCATTGTTTTGAATGCCAAGATCTTCACTGGGTTTTTCTCAGAAATGGGGCCAGATTTTAAACCATCTACAACCTCATGACTTGAGTGCAAAATGAAGAAATAAGTTGGCCTTGTGATGATGACCCACAAGTTTTTGATAGGGTGAGATGTATGTGTCCCTGGGACCAGGTTCAAATGTAGGTTAAGGGAAAGTCTATGCTTTTGACCCAAGTTAAAGGGTATATTAAAGTTCTCTGGCAACCTGAAACATTGGGGAAAGCACTCAGACAGTTTGGCTCCTTGTCTGGAGTGGAAAGGAGGAGACAAATGAGTGTGCATACAGATGAGCAAAGCTTTGGAACAAAGGCAAAAAGGAAAAAGAGGGCAAAGGAATGCCCTCCTTCTTTCCCTCCAGAACAGGTGAGTTCGCTCCCATTTTACTAAGATGTGTGTCCCCCGTTAAATGTCATCTTTCGCCTTTGTTCTTTCATTCCTTTCTCCATTCCTTTCTTCCTGCTTCCTCCCACTTCTCAGTTTCTCTTTGGTCCTCTGTCTCTTCTTATTTCTTGCTCTTTCAATTCTTCTCTTAAAGTTCACATTAAAATACCAGCCTTAATCCCCACCACGGCATTGCTCAACTTGTGGTATGGCTCTGTGCCACCATTAGCTATGCAGCGAGCTTTTACGTGGCCAAGGAACATCTTGTACAATGCCACTTTTTATCAAAACCAAATAGCATAACAATGCATACAGGGCCCCGTTCACAGCAACCTCATAAGATCTCACTGTGATAAACACTGTGAAGCTGTTCTAAACTCTGTCTCTATTTGGAAATAAGTCACTCCAGTGCTTCTCTCTGCCCCCTACCAGGTTCCTGTCTGAAGTCCCCACTCCTCCACTTGCTCACCTCCCCACCCTCTTGTCATCAAGTGCTTCCTTTGGCCTCCAACTGTTCTGGTTTCACCAGTCTGGTGACCCATGAGGACAGGGTTGCACCACACCACACTGGGGTGGGGCTGGAGGGGAGGGAAGGAGAAGCTTGATTTGAAAGCCCCACTGACGCTGGGTTTGACTCCCCTACCATCATGGCCCCCATCATCTTACCTAAGCAGGAGTGTCTTCCAGATGAGTATTTGAGCTATATGAATCAAGGAAGGAAGATGGGAGCTGGGCAAGCTTATCACCCTGGTTCAAGAATGCTTGGGTTTGCTAATTGCTCAGAGCTTAGAGGCTTCTCCAGGACCCTCCAAGGAGACATAGAGAGTAAACAAAGCTCTGATTTGACAGGCCAGGATAAATGGCTCCTGCCAGGCTGATGTGGCATTGGATGGCAGGAAGCATCCTCACAGGATAGCCTTTGCTCCACCATTCCCTGTGAACAAGGAGACCTTTAGACCCTAGCTTTAATCCCCCACAGGAGTCACAGAGCTTCCAAAAGAAAGGGTTCATTTATACTGGGAATGAGGTCTTCAGTGCTGGCTAGGTAGGAGGAAGGACTCCAAAGGAAAGACCACACTGTTCTCTTACAGTGTGGGCTCACGACCAAGCCCCCCCCCCCCCGCCCCACTGCCTTGTTCCTGGATATCAATCATTCATGTGAGAAACATTTTTTGTAGAACAACACAATTCTTAGTCTCTAGGCTCTAGGTGGAAACTTATGCAAGATGAAATCCCTGCTTCACATCCAAAGAGGAAGCATCCAATAAATAAATAAAAACAAAATAAATGCATAAACACACCAGTGATAAGTGTTATGAAGACCTTTTATTTTGTCACTTTTTATTTAAAAAAAAGATTTATTGTTGTGTGGGTATGTGCCATATGTGTGTGGGTGCTTGTGGAAGCCGGAAGAGTGATTGATGCCTTGAAACTGGATTTACAGGCAGTTATGAGTTGCTATGAACTGAATCAGGGTTTCCTGATAGAGCATCAAGTGCTCCTAAGTGCTGAGCCATTTCTCCAGATCTGTTTTGTTACCTTTCCACACCATATAGGAGAAAGATGAGAAAGGGAGTGTGTGGCTGCCTTAACTCAGGACGCATAGGATGGCTTTGTTATTTGTTTTTCGAGACAGAGTTTCTCTATGTAACAGCACTGGCCGTCCTGGAACTCACTCTGTAGCCTGGGCTGGTCTCAAACTCATGGAGCTCCACCTGCCCCTGCCTGCAGAGTGATGGGATTAAGGATGTGCCCTACCACCGACTAGGATGGCTTCTTGGCAGACATGTTGTGGAGGTGAGATTCGCTCAAGTGTGAGATGGGAAAGCTCATTCTTAACCAAGTGGAAACCTCTCAGTGAGGAGTAAGCCTGGTCTGGTGGAGAATCGCAAAAGAGGTTCCTTGAGGCTGGAGTGGAGTGACTGAGGAACAGGAGGCTCTCAATGAGGCCAGACCCTCTCCACCCCACCTGGTTCAGTCCCAAGTCCAAGGTCTTTTGAGCTTCAAATCAGCAGTTAGGGCTGCCTGGCACTGGTTCGGGGAGTCACTAGTTTCTGCTATGCAGAGGGGCCCCTTGTTCCTCGCTGTCACCCAAGACATTCCTGGCCCACCACCTCTCTTCCCGAGCACCGAGAGATTAGTGAGCAGTTTTTCTGGGTGTCAGCCACTGGGCGTGAGACTTTAACTCTTAATTCCAAATCATTACCACACAGGGATCAGATTGCCGCCAAGGATTTCAAACGCCTAGCCTGTGTCAGGAGTTTGGTCAATGTAGGATTTCTTCTCCCCACTTTAGTTTTCAGGCCAGATGTTTACTGAAAATCCCATTTAATTAACACATCCAAATGGGAGAGAGATTGAAAAAGGTTTATAATGCCCTAGAGAAAGCCTCCATGAGAGAATTTCAGGAAAAAGAGTATTACGAAAGGAGTAGAAGGGTGCTTATGGGAAGCATTTGAAAGGACCTGCTCTGAAAAAGGCTGTCTTTGTTTGTATCTCAACTTCCTGGCTGTGTGACTGTGGGCCTGTTAATTGATGTCTCTGGGCTTTGCTTCCTCATCTACAAAATGTGGGAAAGACTAATGGCTACTTTTAGTGCTGTGATGATCAAAGATGTTAATCCATTGGAGGGGTCCAGGCAAAGCCGACATTATGTAAGGGACCCATGGTTGTTCACTTGTGCCACCAAGAGATTCACTACAGAGTAGTTGTGGTCCTGAGCATTTGCTTACAGTGCCCTGGTTCAGCAGGCATGGCAAGGGGACTATGAGACCCTCTTAGCTTATTCCCTTGTTAGTATCATACAGGACTCAAATTATTAACTTCCCAAAGAATGGCCTTGGTTTCAGAAGTGAATAAGTGAAAAATGTGGCTGATGCTTTATATATCTATCCTTCTCACTAGAGAGGAAGATAGAGACCATGATGGAGAAAGAAGAATGTATCTCCTGTGTGGCTACATAACGTCTTGCATCTTGTAGGGAGCCATTGCTCTTTAACCCATGAGATCCAAGAAGAAACTGGCGCTAGAATATGTACCATGTATGGGCTATGCTGTCACATTAAAACAAGCAAACAAACGAAAAGCAATAGACCATTCAAATGAGATCTCAGCAGGAGAACCCAACAGGTAGAGTAGACATCCACAAACAATCCCCAGCCACCCCTTTTCTCTTGTGATTGTTCCTGAAGCAATAGGAGAGCACATGATTTTAAACAAAAATCAACCAATGATTTAACCATTGGGACTTCAGAAGAAATCTCCATCATTTTTTTTACTTTCATATTCCCTAGAAGCCTTAATGTTCAATTTATAATGCCACCATGAAAAATGGAGTCCCTGCTATATTTTTTCCTATCTGTAACTTGCTCTCCCAAAAGGCAATAGCCTTCAAATTTAATCTCCTTGATATTGAGTTCTTTATCTTTAAACAATGCACTTCTCCTATTAGAACTGGCTATTTCCATCCTAGATGCATGTCTTTTGACTTTCCACGGTGGATGGTAAGGATTAGCCTCTTGGTATTATTTTTTACTCTTCCTGGATTCTCCCTCAAAGTACACACTTCCACTCGCCTATTCACTCACACATAACTGTATTATTTTTGTTAATTCAATATTTACTGTTTATATGATAATACATATGAAAATATTGGCCATGCATGAGCCAAGTAACATGCCATGGCTATGTTTCCTTTGTTACACATTTACTCCGTTGTTAACAGTTGTATTCTACTTCCTTTGCCTGGCTTTGTTTACTCAATATTAATTCACCCCCCAGAGTCTCCCTCAGGGATATGATCCCTAGTAAAGACAAACCTATAACATAGTCAAAGACTTCCATGGCATCCCTCTTCCTCCTTCATTGTAGCCGGTTATCCTGGCAGTTTGTTCTACTGCTGTTCTTCTGGACTGTTATCACACACTAAGAACCCGAATGCTGCTTCTGAGTTAGACCTCTAGACCTTGGATCCCATGGGTCCCCGTATTTCAGCAAAAATACTTCTTCTAGCATTTTTAGCTACCTTATGTATTACAGGTATTTTTATTATAAGCTCACACTTGATAGGTGACTTGGTGCATCCAACTTCTTTATCATTAAACACAGCCCTTGTTAGGTTCACAAACTTTGGTTTTTATCTATTCAAGAATGGAAGAATAGGCATCCATTTAACCTTACCCATGAAGCATGATAAGAGGCCTTGCACCTCTTGTGCAAGTACTCCTGAAGATATAAGCAGCTCATTCCTGTGCTCAACACACAACCCTTGCAAGGCAAGGCAGGATTCTTTTGTGCCCCCCCTGCATCCACCATGCAACGCTCTTAGCATGCTGCACTGTGTGCCGCAGATTGTGCTCAGCACTGGGACTTGCTGCATTGGGATAATTAATTCACATATATTTATTTTGACAGGTTCATATGGAGCCTTCGGGCCATATGACAACACTGGGACTTTTCTTTCAGCCTCTCATCTCAACTAGGTCAGCTTCCCTTACTTTAGTCAGCAGAAGCCAAACTCAATACAGGAACCTGCCAAGGAAAGGGCGTAACAATGAACACCACATTCTTGCAGGTGTCACCAGGCAAGCAGCATAAAGACCTATTGTTAGAGTTGAGGGGCTCGGAGGGGCCAGGCAAAGCTCAGTGTCACCTTCCTGAGCAGAAACCATGCCAGAACCTCTATCCCCTGCTCCGTGAAGGAGCTCCTGGGAAATGGCCCAGTCCTCCTTTGAGAGCCAGCCGGAGGGGATCACCGAGAACAGCACAGAAAGCAATGGCAATTCCCGTAAGCATAGCTGTGATTAGTGTTGCTACAGAACCTAAAACATAGCTATGGAGAGCACAGCACTGTGCAACGGACTCCATAACAGCAAAACTTAACACTCTGGATGTATTTCATTATCACTCTGTGAAGTTGCAAGAAAGAAATCCAACCCAACACCGGGACGACTGTCCTAAAATCACTCTGATTCCACAACTCTGCCACTAGAATATATCCCAAGTGAGAAGTGAAAGATGGGAAATTTTATTGCTAGAAATCATGAAATAATGGAAGAACAGAGAAAAGGAGTGATTATAAAGGCATTTACCAAAATATTGCCATGTAATTACAAAGTGAAAATGGTCTATATATCTTCGTGATTAAAAATTGGGACTGTATTCCTCATTCAGTGGAATACTACACAGCTATATGTGATAAATATATTCACAGGAAGATGTTTATAATGTTATGTATTGTGTTTGTACATATGTATATATGCATGTACATGCTCAAGGAAAGATCTGATAGGAGAAATTCAAGATATTAAATGTCAGAATAAGGGTTGGCTGGTTTATTTATTTACTTATTCATCAGTGTTTTCTGTAATCATCTCATTTTGTTTTTGTAATGATAAAAGATGATGTAAGGTATTTGAATACTTGAGTAAAGAAGAAAGAAAAGGCTTCAGCAAGCCAAGAATTAATCATAAAGGAGCTTCACCAAGGCTCAAGGCTTCCCAGGAGCCCCTTCTTGACACTCCTGACTCTATCAGTCTATGGTCTGGGGCTCTCTGAAGCACAGGTTTGAGCAGATGGACGTGACTGTAGGTGGCTTAGAGATTAAGTCTTGGCTGTAGCCACAAGGGTCCCAGCCGCCCACATAGTATTGGTGAGTCAGAGCTTGCTCTGTGCTTGCAAGAAGCATTCAAGCATCAAACAAAGAGGTCACAGAGAGGCCATCTCTCCTCAGAAGCCCTTACAAAGATGATAAACCAACAGAGGAAGGCCTTTCTCTGGAAACCCTGGGCTGCAGCTTCCTTGTTTTCTAGGC